TGTGTGTGTGTGTGTGTGTGTGTGTGTGTGTGTGTGTGTCCAGCTCAGCCCTCCAGGGGGCGGGGATGGCTGGCATGTGGTGCTGGGGGATTGAACTGTGGTCCCGGTGCTTTGCTAAGCTTGTTCTAAGTAGGTGCTTTAGACCACTGAGCCAGCTCACCAGCCCCAATATTTTATCTTTTTAAAAGAAACTTCCATTTTTTTGTTACACAGAAAACCATAGAGAAATACTGAGGATCTTATTACTATGGAGTTACAAATCATTAAAGAAAAATGCTTTAACAATTGAAAGCTTTACTTGTAAGACTTACCAGATGGTATTATTATTATTTTTTCAGATGGTATTATTTTGAGTGTAGTAATAAGCCTACATCTTTAATGAGAATTCTTCAAGCATACTTTAGGATTGGGGTGCTATTTCCGAGAACAAACATGTTACTTAGAAAAGGCAACTGTTAATCTATGAAATTTTCTCCCTTTAAGAAAACAGGTATAATGGATAAGACTTCAAGTGCAGGAGGCAATCCAAGGCCAGGGTGGAGATGCAGCTAACGAGCATGCTGTCCACTCAGGTGGGAGAAGACTGAAAACCAAGAGAAAGCCTTCTTTGTGCCTTCAACTGTCCCTTCTGAGGAGCTCCTAAATGACCTCTTTAGGTTAGACTGAGGCAGGAAACAAGACAGCTGGCGAAGAGGCGCTTCCCTTCCTAACAGCTGGCTGCAGAGACCTGTGTTCGGGGAGGACCTGCCTCTTCAGCCAGCCCGTTCTCCTTACACTGCTGTGCCGCTGAGCTATGTCCATGCTGTTTCAATGTCCTATGTGTTCTCCTAAGAAATGGTGGGATGCATAACTGATTAAAGACATAATCGATTTAGGTCAAGATTTTGGAACATACTTGGAAGATTTTTAATTATACATTTTATTTGAAGTTAGTATCAAAGAAGAGATATTCTACAAAGCATACTCATACCCTTAAGTTACTAACATTTTCAGGTTAACTGTATAAAAAAGTATATTCACATCTCCCCATATGGTACACCGGCACTGTACATAATTTCTGCATCTCAAAGTACTTGGCACTCACAAAGTGCAAAGTCTCAAACTGCTAGATAAAAATGTATTAATTATTGTTGTTGGGCTTTTATATTTCGGGCATTTACTTCTGCTTGTTTGATTTTTTGGACAGTCTCACTCTGCAGTCCAGACTCCTCTTGATTTCATCCACAATGTGCCCAGGATGGTCTTGAACTCAAGCTATTCCTGCCCTTATCTTCCAAGCACTGGAATCATGTGTGTGTCACCATACTGGGCCTAATTATATTTTTAAAACAATACTCCTTCAGAAGATGTATTCTTCTTTGTGCTTATAGCTAATTTGTAAGCATTTCAGTCAAAGCTTCTTGAAATATTTATAGAAAAAACCCTGGAAGTTGTTCTGGAAAAACTCACAGTAGACAAGGGCTAAGTGCAGACATGAGCAGCTCCATCTTATAAACAAAGTTGCGGCCTTCCATCTTATTCCACTGGACTTCCTTAAGTGGGCCGCGAAGATGACTCCACTTGCTGTCTTGTAAAACGTCACTTTTTGGAAGGTCTTTACACTGGTTTCGGGGAAACTGAACCATGACCTTGCTGCCACTTTCAGGTCCGTTCCGAACTATGGAGGAAAAAATACCAACGCATTCACATTTTTCAAGCTGGAAAATAACCAGGACATATCCCATAACTTCATTCTACTATGAAAAACTTTATCTGTCCACCATATGAAACAATCTTATTTAATATATGGTTTTCAAGCTGGGCATGGGGGTGTACATCTATAATCTCAGCACTCTAAGAAGTTAAGGTGGAAGCATTTCAAGTTCAAGTCTAGTCTGGGAAACATACGGAGACTCTGACTCAAAATAAAAAAAGCTCCAAGGCTGTATGTAGCTCATTACAAAGATCCCCAATACTGTTCCCCCCAAGGGTGCTTTTTCAGTATCAATATCCAAATTTGTTCTCATTTATATTCCCAGCTGAGGGCCGGCCAAATAGCTTAGTGGATTAAAGTACCTGCAAGCAGGCTCAGGGGTCAGGGTTCGATCCCTGGGTCTGCATCACTGGCCCTACCCCCCAGGGTGTGCTGAGACTAGGCATGGTGGCGTAATCCCAGCTCTTGGGAGGCTGTAAACAGGAGGATCACTATGAGTCTGATCTAGTAGTGAGACCTTGAACACCTTGTAGACCCTTCCCTAAAATACAAAAAAAAAAGTGGCTGTGGATACAGGAAAATAAATACGCATCAAGTAGGCGCAAAACCCTAGTTTGACTCCTAACATCAAAAAAGAAATTAGCAATAAAGGATTGGAAATGGCCAGGCTTACAGAGCCACAGGCTGGAATCCTGTGGGGAAATACTTCTCACTGTCCACGTTTTCAATTTGAAAGTAATGAGAAGAGAGTAAAAAAAACCTAATAAAGCTGTGAACCCTAAGAACATCGCCTACTGATTAAACATAGGGAACAACAGCCTATCAAAGCAGAGCAGGTGCTTAGTGGAATACCAATCTCCCCTCCATCCTATCGTACCACTTTCCACGCTTATAGCCATCTGCACACACGGAGGGACAGCGAGGAGCGCACGGCACATCTCAGCCTTTCTGTGTAACCACCTATTTTTGACACTGTCTCACTATGTCACTAAACTGCCCAACTTGGACTCAAACCTGAGATGCTCCTGCCTGCCTCCCACAGTGCAGGGTTATACGTGTGCACCTCTACACCTGCCTTAGAGCAGTATATTTTAAAAAAAATTTTTAATAGATTGCAAATTGAAAATAAATTATTTACAAACCTAAATGAATATAACAATAAAAATTGTCCAAAATAAAAATGAAAGAATTTACAGATCAGGCATAATAGTTCACTGTGTCAAAACCAAGAAACTTAGAATTCTCAAAGTAGAAAGGAGCAGGCAATAAATATTTACAGATTTAAAATTTCTGAATTTAGTTCAACTTATAATACCGCATTTCCAAGAAAAATGAACCTTTTGCACAAGAAATTTAAATAAAATCATACCAAGATACACAAAAATGAAATTGTCTAAAACTTATTGTAAAGAAAAAAATCATTAAAGCATATACACACAAAAAAATTACCTATGGAAGAACAAAATTAAATAGCACCTTATTCCACATTAGAAAGAAAAAAAAGGACCAAACGTGTAAGAAACTAGACTAATTAAAGGACTGAAAGATCTGTCCTCTTTGAATTTTATACTTACCAAACACAACTTTGAGAACTAAAAGTAAGATTTTCTAGTTATCCAAACTTGAAATATTTTAATACCTCCAGAAGTATATTTTTTAAAAACGCTTAATCATTAAAGGAGTAACAAGGGCCAGGGAGACAGCTCAGCAGCATAAGCAACTGCCTGGCAAGCACAAGGCTCTGAGCTCAATCCCTGGTACCAAAAAATAGAAATAAATAAAAATAAAAAATAAAGGAGTAACAAAGTTGATGCCACTTTTCAAAGGAAACACTAGCTAAATGTTTTTAGAGCTACCAGAAAACTAATAATTTATTCAAAACAATGTAAATATGTAAACTCACTTTTATGTCATTTTATGATTAATTACTTTTATGTCATTTTATGATTAAGGCAGAAAGTTAGAATTAAACTAGCACATGGGGCTGAGGCGATAGCTCAGTAGAATAAGCACTTGCCTGGCAAGCACAAGGGCCTGAGTTCAATCCCCGGTACCCACCCTCCAGAAAAAAAAGAAAAAAATTAAACTGGTACAGCAGTCTGTTCTCATACACAACTGGTACTTCTTTTTACCTTTACTTGTTCTAAACTCACCCCACAGAGCAGATTTTTCTTCCTACATTATTTGTTCTTAAATTTTTAAAAAACTTGAATTAATGTATTTGGTACAGGGTCTCACTATGCAGCTCAGACTCGGTGATCCTCTGCTTCCGCCTCCCAGCGACGGCATCACAGGCTGGCATGACCATCGCTGGCTTAGGAGGCTGGCTTGAAGCAGGGCCGGCGTGCCGCTGGAGATGGAACCCGTGTCCCTGCAATTGCCAGGCAGGTGCTTGGACCATCGAGCTAACTCCCCAGCCCTCTTTCCTGCCTTTAATAAATGTAAAACCTTCATACCTTAAAAAAAAAAAAAAAAAAAAAAAAAAAGAGACTGGGTATGGCGGCCTGCACCTGTAATCCCAGCACTTAGGAAGTTGCAACCAGGAGGACCACTATGAGTCGGATCTGTGTAGTGAGACCCTGTACTAAATACATTAAAAAAAAAAAAATAAAAAAAAAAAAAAAATAAATAAATAATAAAATCAAACTCCCAACTGTCCCTTCTTCAAAGCAGCAGAGAGTACCTGAAATGGCGTAGTCCCCACTCGGGGAGGCTACAGTGATGGCAGAGGCGTTGCCGATGCTCTCTATGGGGCCGAGCCCCACGTGGTTACTGAAGCTGAGGACCTGCCAGCCCATCACCTTGGCCAGCTGCTGCACCGCATGCACCTGGTGCTGTGACATCTGTGAAGGAGAAAGGAAACCTGACTGACAGTCGGCACAGACACTCCCTTTCACACCACGACGATACTTTCGTTGGGGTTTTCACTGCCTATAACAGCATCCCGAGTGTTTCAGGAATCCCCAGTGTGGTGACTTACGAGAAGACACCAGGCCCCATCTTCCACTGGAGGAGCTATAACTGCCTGACTCTTGCTTCCTGAATCCACTGGCAACTTGACCACAGACACGTGACCTGGACCACCGATTGTGGCATGGCACTAAAAGTGGCCTATGTGCTGAATAGCTTCCATGTGCCCCTTTACGCCCAGTCTCACTACCTTCTCCACCCCAAGGCTGAATAGTTGGCTCGAGTAACAGCTTGTATCCCCAGGCCTAGGGCTGGTTCAGCTAATGGCCCCCGCTCAAATGAGAGCCAGCAAGACGGCAAGGAAGGACGTGCTGTGGGGGGTGCTTGCTTCCCTGTGAGCTCTTCCAGATGGCTCTCCCTTGGCAAAGGCTGCCGGTCTCCTCAAGGCCCTTGTGTACATGGCTCTCTTGGTCCTGTGATTTCTTTTTCCCCTCAACCTTGACCTGGGATGAGTGACTGTGAAGACCCTGAAGCCTGGTTACTATGAACAACAGGCTACCACACAATCTACACTCAAAACTTGGTAGACAGATAGTTCATAAATAAATACACCTCCTAAGCATACCTCCAGGTTCTTATTCAGACCCTAACTGAACTCACTCTGCACCACAGCAATGGCAGCCGTGCAGGGACTGCAGCACTGTCACTCCCGCAGCCTCCTCTGACCCCTCTCCATCTGCAAGCCGTACCTCTTGACTTCTCACTAATTCTCGGAGAAGTAACTGGCTAAAAGCTACCAGCCTTTCCAAATGCATTTCAAAAGTATTTAGCATCAAAGGAGCAAAAGGAAAACAGTATACGCTATTACTGCTTTTGGGATGTAGGACTGTGTGTGCATTTATCTTTAACTTCATATGGAAAAATTACTTAACGTTAATTTTTTATTTTTATTTATTTTTTAAGGATACTTATTTATTTACTTTTCTGTATTTTAGGGAAGCGTCTACAGAGTGTTCAGGGTCTCACTACTAGATCGGACTCCTAGTGATTCTGCTTACTGCCTCCCAAGAGCTGGGATTACAGGTGTGCGCCACCATGCCCGGCCTCAACTGCCATCTCCCCGTTTCCTTAATAATTATTTTATATATCTATTTTACGTTAGTGTCCCCAAACCCTACCCTTTCTACCATAAGCCAACATTTCATTAGATTACAACTTTGTGAAAAGGGTAGGAACAGCAGTTTATTTTACAGATGTGGGAAAAAAGCATCAGAAATCTGTCTAGTGTCACAGAGCAAGTGTGTGATAGAGCAGACAGGAACCCAGTAATTTCTATACTGTCCCTTAATACAAGGAACCCTTCCCTAGGGCCAAAAAATTAAAATACACCACTTATTATTATGGATAATTTTTCTTGGGTTAATGGTTCTTCACTCCTTGTCCTGGAGAGACTGTAAACCTTAACAATCATAAGAAACAAAAAACTTGTTTCAGAAATGATTTTTTTCATCAAAAATCTAAATATTAAAGCAAAGACACTAACATGGAATAGGAGGAAATCTAGAAGACACTGATGTACACAAAATTTTTTTTTTTTTTTTTTGCAGAACCGGGGATTGAACTCAGGCTCTTGCGCTTGCCGGGGAAGTGCTTATTCCACTGAGCCATCTCCCCAGCCCCACAAAAATTTTTAGAAACAAAACATTACTGCACAGGAAATACCACAAAGAATCAGTAACTGCAACCTCATCTTATTAAAAACTTTTGCGGGGGCCAGAGAGAGCTCAGTGGCATAAGCACCCACCTGGCAAGCGCAAAGCACAGAGTTGGATCCCTGGTACTGCCCCCCACCAAAAAAAGCTTTTGTACAGTAAAAGCAACCACCAACACAATGAGATGACCCACACTGTAGGAAAACATCTTGGTCAGCTGTTCCTCAGGCAAAAGACTACTTACTATCTAGAACATAAAAAGAACTCAAGGACCGGCAAGATAGCTCAGTGGCCTAAAGTGCCTGCTTAGGCAAGCTTAGGCAGGTACAGGGGACAGCGGTTCAATCCCTGGTACCACATGCCGCACCAGCCTGCCCCAGGGCAGGCTGAGCTGGCCGAAAATAAATGAATAAATGAATAAAATAAAACAACCAAATACATTAAAAAAAAAATCAGATCTCTCAAATTTAAAGACCTAATCTAACAATGGACATCTGAAATGAATACACACTTCTCAGATGAAGAAATGGAAATAGCTAATAACTATATGAAAAAATACCGCATCACTGGTCATTTGACAGATGCAAACTAAAACACTGAGATTCTATCTCACCCCAGAAAGAATGGCTATTCTCAAGAAATCAACAAATAAAAATGCTGGTGTAGCTGTGGAGAAAAAGGAACTTTTCTCCACTGTTGGTCAGACTATAGACTTGTACGACCACTGTGGAAATCAGTATGAGATTCCTTAAAAATCTACGACTAGAGTTCCATTTGACCTAGGTATCCCCTTCTTAGTATCTTCCTGAAAGAAATAAAAGCATGATACCACTGTGATATACACACACTTATGTTTACAGCAGCACACTTTATAATACATAAATATCATGGAAACAGCCCAATGTCCATTAAGCAATAAATGGATAAAGAAGATGTGTTTTTAATATAATGAGTACTACTCTGCCACAAAGGATAAACTTTAGACATTTATAACTACACGGATACATCCTGAGACCACCTCTTAAGTGAAATAAATTGGACACATGTTTAAATACCATGTTGTTTCTCTGGGATGAGAAACTGAGAGTGTAAACAGGACCAAAATGTCTAATAGACATTGTGAAATAGGAAGAAACTGTTCAAAAAGGGGAACTAGGGGTGGGGGAGGGGGAAACAGAAAAGAGAAAAAATGGAAACAAAATTTTTGTAAGTAAGGAGGGAAAGGGTTGAAGGGAAGGTTTGAGAATGGTGGGGGGGAGAATCAACTCATATCATGTACAGGTACAAATCCCCTCTGATAAATTTGATTTTTTGCATACTTAAAATGTAGCAAGGGCCGGGGAGATGGCTCAGTAGAATAAGCGTGTTCCTGGCAAGCTCAAGGGCCTGAGTTCAATCCCCAGTTCCGCCAAAATAATAATAATAATAA